GGGATAGATTTTCGCCGAGGTAATAGAACCTAGGGGGGCAGTTGTGGGGATATATTTTCTGAGTACCAACACATGGCAATGTGACGCCGACGTGTCACCCGAGGTGCCACGTGCCCTGGTTGTGACGCCGAGGTTATCTCCGAAGATATTGGAATCCGAGATAAATGGATAAGGGACAAGAGTCCTAGAATAAAAAGGGAACTCAACCTGGATGAGGGACAAGAGTCCTAGAATGAGAGAAGACTTCAGTTTGTATTAAGATAAGACTCTTAGAGAGTTTATCCTAATTTTACTAGGAGTCCAAGATTAGCAGTAATCCTGAGTCCATAGAAGTTAGACTTCTATTGGGACTAGGTTTATGTTGGCTATAAAAGAGAGGCACCCCCATGAGTCTAAGGTATGCTTTTGATACTTAAGCTGGTGAGTTTAGTACTTGATTTATCTTTGAGAGATATACTGACTTGATCGTCGGAGTGCCCCCGGGTAGACGAACCACCGCGGGATTCTTGTATTTCTATTACAGGTCAGTCAGGTGCCATCTATTCTGCCGGTGCTCTCCGGCTGGTTACTAAGCGGGTAGTGTGATCAGAAAATCACTCACACAGTTTTTATAAATTTACATAAGTAATCTCACAAAAATATATAAGTTGAACACAAATTCACGTAAATTATTGAAAACTTAAGCGAATTTGTGTCTAACTTACATATTTTTATGAGATTGCTCATGTAAGTTCATGAAAACTTCTGTATTTTTGTGATAAGATTGCATAATTTTTCTCTATTTTATTATATGAGGATGTGATACATTTTATAAATTTTAAATAAAATTAAAATTATATACTTTGGTTTGTTTAACTCTCCTATTCAAAATTATGTTTTGGTATGCAATTTTTATTTGCCTTCTGTTTTCCAATAATTAATTACTAGAAAAAAAATATAATTAATTATTAAGCATCCGTTTGAGAAACTAATATAGTTAAAATGTCAAAATCAAAATTTTAAAAAAATTTAACTCATATAAAGAAGTCATTTTTTTTTCACTCTACATTTTGCTTTTTTTTTTTATAAAAATTTAAAAATCATCACTAAATATATTAAATTTTTTAATGTCATGTTTGAACTAAAACATTACTTTGCAAACCATAAGTAATTTAATATGGTCTTATAACTAATAAGTTATATCTGACTTTAAAAAAATGGGTCAAAACAAGTCCAAATTTTCTGGAGTAATTTTTCTTAAAATAATTTAGAATGTTTTTTTTATAGAAGAATTTTTTTTTTTTTAAGATTCCTAATATTAGATTTTATAAAATAAAGGACATACAATATTTTCATAATAATTAAGGTCTCTCAATATTTTCACAGAAAAAATTTAACTCAGAGAAATTTCTATGAAATCAAAAAAAAAAAAAGGTTGAGGGGCCTTAGCTAATAAAAAAATATCTTGGATCTCTCATACTACACAAAATATTAATTCCTTATTCATGTTATTAGTCCTTGATTTTTGAAAATAAACTAATATTTTTGGGAATAATAAAAAATTAAATAAGGAATTAATATTTTGAAACCAAACGAATATATAAAAATATGTAAAAATATTTTTAATTATATACTTTTTAATAACATTCATAACACATTTTTCAATAATATTAGGTACACGAAGAAACTAATAAATGTACCAATAACTATAAAAAATAGTAAAACCATCATTCCATCATCATTTCAAAGGCACCACCATTATATTTTAAGAATAAAATATTTTAATTACAAAAAATATCATTATTATATTTTTAATAAAAGAATTAAATATTTAATAATAAATTATTATCATTTTAGAATAAGAATATTTTTTTGTACAAAATTATTTTCTTTTTAAAAACGCATGTATTAGCGATTATTAGCGACATTTTTAAATTATTGTCACTGAAAAGATGATTTTTTTTTTTTAAGATGACCTTTTAATGACAACTCTCGTGATAACAAAAATTAATCTTTTAATATATTTTGCAAAATTTTTTATTTTTAAAAATAAAAAAATTAATCCCCAAATTTTTTAAATATACAAAATTTTTAATAAAATAAATAATTTAAATTATTAAAATAGAACTAATGATAAATGCTACGCATCCAAACAGCCCTTCCGTCCAAATTGTGGACTGAGAAAATTCTCTTTAAAAAAAACAAAGGAACAAAGAAGAGAGAGAGAGAGAGAGAGAGAGAGAGAGAGAGAGAGATTACAGTCAAAAGCTACAATCCTCTTCAGCTACCTCAAATCACAGTCAATGGCCGCCTTATTTTTGAACCATGTAAATATTTAGTTCTTAATATTAGAGAGAGACACAACTATCCAGGTAAATATCCAGATAATGCTGGACCATCCATATCAACTATCCAGGTCACCCAAGCTAAATGAAAGCACGAGAATGTTATGCCCCCAATCTGTACATCAACAGACTTTTGTTTCATCCATTTCTAAATTTTTCTATGCATGCATGTTCATTAAACTGAATTTCAGGCTGCCTGCTTAGCAATGCCTGCAGAGCTGAGTAGATCTCTCATGTTGGACTCTCACCATATAAAATATTTGGATTTAACCGATATGCAGGTTTGGACAAATCATACCCATGATTAAGAGTGTAAGTTTAAATCTTCATATGTGTTCAAGTCCGCCCTACATAATTAAATGACTCTAATATATAACACCACCTAAGATTTACAAGCCATTGCACATAATGCCTTGCTCTTAAGGACAAGGTGAATCTATTAGAATTCTCCTTCATTAAATAAATAAAAATAGTGGTTAATTAGATTTTACATTGTTCAATTACCATTGAAATATCATCTTATCCCAACTTTAAAACAAGGGTGAATTATGTAAATCGTGCATGTGATTTATACGATGTGTCAATTTAATCCTTATTATTTTAATTTGTTCAATTTTGTCCTTTAATTTAAAGGATTGTATCATACTGATCTAATAAATAACGGTCGTTAAGTTTGGTAGATAGAAACTCAAACGGTGTGCCAATTTAGTTTCTGTAATTTACACGATGTGTTAATTTGGTCCATGTCAAAATGGAACAAATTAAAACAATATGGATCAAATTAACACATAAGGTAAATTATAATAACCAAATTGACACATCGTTTGAACACGTGACAATTTTTCGTCCACCAAACTTAACCGTTGTTATTTATTGGATCAATATGACACAATCCATTAAATTAAGAGATAAAATTGAACAAATTAAAATAATGAGAACCAAATTAACACATTATATAAACTATCAAGATCATTTACATAATTTATTCTTAAAACTATATATTTAGTCAAAAATGATACAAACACCCAAAAGTGAAGCAATTTTGATAATTGCAAGAAGAAGCTGATATTGAGAGACAGTACAGTGTAATTAACCTTATAAAAATACAAAAGATACGTGCGATGCTATCTCCATAATAAGTGGACCCTCCCAGAAAAAGCCGATATTTAGTGACAGCACAGTGTAATTAAGGCCTCGTTTGGGAACAGGCTAATTTAGTAACTTTTTGGCTATTTGACTAAAAAGGTAGGTAAAAAAAACTTGTATGTTTGGGATGACTTTTTGGCTAATTACGAAAAGATGTGCAAAAAGTAGAGAGAAAAGAGAATCTTTGACTTTTTGGTATAGGTTGTTGGCTTTTTGGCTAATTTAGTAACTTTTTGGTTAATTGACTAAAATAGCCTCTTGCCAAACGAGGCCTAAGGCTAAGTTTGGGAAGTCCCAAATAAGTCAAAAAGTCAAAAAATTACTCAAAAAGTTAAAAAGTTAACACTATTCACCAAAAGTCAACAATTACGGCTGCACAACTCCCAATTCAAATTTTCCTCTACAAACCAATTTTTACAATTTTTTATTACACATTTTTCCATAAAAAGTCAAAAAGTTAACCCAAACATCTATATTTTCAATCTCAATTTTTTTGTCCAAAAAGACAAAAAGTGCACTTATTTAGTCTTCCCAAACTTGGCCTAAATCTTAAAAAAACACAAAAGATATGTGCGATGCTATCTCCATAACAACAATGATTCATCCTACTAAAAACATCACTACTAATAGCATTAATACATTAAAAAAGTAAAAAAAAATATAATTTCAAGACTAAAACATCACATCATTAATGACGGGACACACTGCCACCTAATTAGTGGGAGCACTAATTAATGCTCCCAAACATTTTTTTCTCCATAATAAGTGGACCCTCCCAGAAAAAGAGAGGGGGGCGGGGGGATGCTAGTTGTCAGTTAACAATAGCCACTAATATTTCACATTGGCCCAAAGTTTTTTCAAATTATCAAAATGAAATTGTATTTCGACTATACTTTCGAAAAGGCATTCGGAAACAAAAATTTGTACCATTACATTTTCTTGATAGATCTCAAGAAAAAGATAAATTGACCAAATAATTGAGCCACCTCTATGGCATAGTCTAAGACAAAATTTGCATAGAAAGCAAGTTATGATTGAACACAAGCATAAGCAATAAAATTCCATAAAAGTTGAGAAAACAAATCAATACACACCACAATTATGAATTTCTATTTGATGCTTGAGCCACTGCAACAAAACAAAACAAAACAAAACAAAATAAAATAGAAATTGGTTTGAATGAGAACTAAAGTGAGAATGCATTACAAGTTCATGATCTAATCTTCAACATAGACTAACCAAGTGCTGTTTTGGGAACCAAAATAAAATCACTTCTTTTATCTTTGGTCCAAAAAAATAAGTGGCAAAAACGCAACAAAATTGGTTTGGAAAGTTATAAAAACACAAGTGTGAAATTACAAATTGGGGCTTATGACAAAAAATAAAAAAATAAATTTCTTATGTTGGGTAAAGATATTTTGGTCATTTTAATTTGATTTGACACCATAAACAACTATTAAACTAAAAAGTCAAAAATCAATTTTTTATCAACTTTTCAAATCATTTTTCAAAAAGTTAAAAAGCTTAATAAAAAGCCAAAAATCAACTTTTTATCAATTTCCCAAAATACCCCCAAATTACAAACATCAGATAATCACAGAGGCAAGTTTTGCAAGAACGGAGGTAACTAAACTAGCACTAGTGTTCCAAGACATACCAAAATGAAGAGAGAGAATGCATTACAACGAGTTTCATCGTCTTCCTCGAATCATTTCCCGCCAAAAAATCTACTTTTTATGATCAAGATCATCTTTGCCAAAGTTGAAAGGGAATTCATCAAACTGTTCAGAAAAGTGATCATGTTCCTCACTCAAGCTCTTCAATGACTGATAAACACTGTACATAGAAGGCCTATCCTTGGGCCTAGAGGCCACACAAGTACAAGCAACCTTGAGGAATTGCAAGATTTGATCATCATGGCCTCTTCCACAGAGAGACTTATCCGTGGCATCGTTGCTTAGACCCGACCCACAGAGCTGTGTAACCCAATCCACCAGATTCCCCTTGAACCCTTCTTCTGCATTACTAACTTCCAAAGCCTTCTGTCCAGTCACCAACTCCAGAAGCACCACCCCGAAACCATAAACGTCTCCTTTCATCGACGCGATCATCGTGCTTGGATATTCAGGCGGCACATACCCGAATTCCCCCATGTCTCTATTGACAAAAGTGCTACTACCGTTCGAATCCACAGCACCAACAAGCCTTGCCAACCCAAAATCCGATATACGAGCATCGAAATCATCATCCACAACAATCACATTGGAACTTATGTTTTGGTGAAGGTAAGGGGGTTGGCATCCATGGTGAAGCCAAGAAAGCCCTCTTGCTGCACCTACACCAATCCTAACCCTAGCCGGCCAATCCAATGAACCACTATTCATAACACCGATACCATTTCCGTGCAAAAGCGAATACAATGTCCCATTAGACATGTGTTTATACACCAAAAGCCTCTCATTTTCCATAACACAAAACCCCAACAATGGCACCAAATTGGGGTGTCTCAACTGACCCAACCTATTCATCTCGGATTGAAATTGCTTCTCGCTAAGCTTACAAACACTCAATCGCTTAATCTCCAATGCCGAGCCATCCCGTAAAATCGCCTTATACGAAACCCCTGTTCTTGTGGTTACAGCAATGCTTTCTGGGTCAAAATTTTTAGTAGCTGCCATTAAATCATTCAATTTGATTTTAACAATGGGTTTTCGAAACAATGACACTTGAACAAGCTTGTGTGCTCTCAATCTCTCAATCCAACGACCGCCGCCACCCCCACCAAAAGCTTTCCTTTTTTTGCGATTCGACAACACGAAAAACGTCCAGAGAGCGAAACCCAAAAGCAGAGACCCTGCAGCACCAAGAACCCCCGCAGCAATAATAATCGCAAGGTTTTTGTTGCTCAATTTTCCACAGCTCGATCCAATCGGATTCCCACAGAGCCCACCATTCCCGATAAAGCCCTCGGCCGGGAAATTGGACAAATGAGAGGGAGTCGAACCGGAGAGATCGTTGTTGGCGACCGAGAACTTCTTCAACCGGTCGACCGGGAAATTGGACAAATCGGAGGGAATCGAACCCGAGAGATCGTTGTTGGCGACCGAGAACTTCTTCAACCGGTCGAGCAGACCCAACCCGTACGGAATCGCACCGGACAACTTGTTATCGCTCAAAACGAGACTGTTGAGGAACTTACAATTCACAATTTCAGGAGGGATCGAACCGGAGAGAAGATTACCGGAGAGATCTAGGGTGACCAAGTAAGGCAACCAGGTGCAGATTTGGGGAGGGATGGAGCCGGAGAGGAGGTTACCGGAGAGATCGAGGTGTTGGAGGCTTTGACAGAACTTGAGGGGTTCAGGGAGAGAACCGGCGAGGGACATGGAGGGGAGTTGGAGGCTGATGAGGCGGTTCTCCATGTCGTTCCAGCAGGAAACGCCGACGAGCTGCATGCATATGAAGGTGACGGAGGTGTTGGTGAAGATCCATGAGGAGAGTGTGGATTGTGGGTCACTGATAGAGCTCTTGAAGCCTTCCAGACACTTGACATCGTCTTCAATGGCGGTGATGAAGGTGCAGAGAGAAAGGAATAGGATGAGAAGAGTTGGAGAGGAGAATGTGAGGTGGGTTTTCATGGTGGTTGGTTTGGCCCCGTTGGGTTTTATGGATAGAATGGAAGGAATTTATGGTATTAAAGGTCAATCCCCTTCTTATGGCTTAATAATGTAATAAGGAACATTTGTGTAACATGAAGTTTTGGAAAATTTTTGTGGACTGGACTTTCTTGCAATTCATGATCTAGGCTTGAAGGTGTTATTTGGCTCCGTGAGATCATTACGATTTGTACTATTCCTTTTATAAAACATTTTATGTATATTTTAACAATAAAAAAATTATTCAATGAGTATAACCAATTCAATTTATAATGTTTGTTATACAAATAGATGATTTATTTTTTTAAAATTACACTTAAAGTTTTTTTTTTTCTTTTGTAGGCACAAATGCAATAAATACAATAGACTGTATTATCAAATTTACATAATTTTTTTATGCATGATACATGTAAAATTTTTAAATAAATAAATAAATAAACGATTTAAATAATTAAAAGAGAAATTTTTATTGCCCACGGATCTCGACTGGATAATGAAGTGAGGGAGCCCATCCTATTTTTTATTGGAGGATTCACTTGACAGTAAGATAGAGAAAAAATACAAAAATATAAGAGATGCAAATGAACCTGTATTGAAATTAAGAATAAGGAAAATGAGTGGGAGCACTAATTAGTGCTATGGTAGTAGGCCCCACCATGAATGATTTGATATTTTGAGTGTCATGTCATTAGTTGTCTTTTTAGAGCTCCAAAATTAGTGGTCTCTATCATTGTTGTTAAGAATAATCGTGAATCAGAATGGGTCGAATTGGGTCGTGACACGCAAGGACATGTGTTTTTTTTTTTTTTTTTTGAAAAAAAAAAAATATTTTATGGTGTCATCACAGTTCTTGCAAGCTCTGACCTTGGGTAGCCGGTTGCCCGCTAGGACATGTGTTTCATGCACAACGAAGACTTGGGTGACTTTGACTTTGACCACGGGCCATATTGATGCTATGGTGGATAATCAGCTCGCCGGCAGGGCGGAGTCAAAGAAGGTCCGGGTGTCACGTGCACCCCTCTCTCAATTTTTTTGTTTTTGTTTTTATTTTTATTTTGTGATTATATATAAAATGTGTTTATTTTTTTCTTAATATTTTCTTTTGCTAAGAATTTATTGTATTATTCACAATAAGTAATTATTTGATATTTTAGAAATATTATATGGTATTATTTATGTAATGGTCTAAACTAATAGTATAGTAAAAAATCTTATGAATTGAATATAATTAACTTATTATTTTTAGGTAGTTGACAAACTACTTAGTGTGATTTGTAATTTCTCATTTGAGCATCTTTTGACAGCGTCATATGATACTCTAAGACTATATAATAATTTCCATTCAAAACACATAATTTATAAGCAATATCATCTCTTTAATATTTTCTGTCAAATAAAAATTAAATAGATTTTATAACAATTTGTGCTATAAATGATGTGTTTTTATTTTCTAAAATTAAGAATTTTGATCCATAATTTTTTGTGCTAAAATTACAAACTTACATCACTATCCCGCACCGAGCTATTACACACTATTATAAAATTTTGATTTGTTCCTATTAAAAATGATTTTTAATTTCTTATGCTGAAATTTAGCCTATACAATTATTATTATCTTAATGTTGATCATGTTTTTTTTTTTTTAAATAAAAAATTGTAATTGATAAGTGCCCTCTCTAACCTAATTTCTTGGCTCCGCCACGCTACAACATCAAGCCCATCTCTAATTGAAGTGAACAAAGCCGAGAAGCTAGCAATGGAGGATCCACCAGCTCCAATCCCCAACCCAAGAAGATCAAGCGTGGTTAGCTTGTTTCCATAGAATGATGGTGGACCCACCATCACATTAGTCAAACAGGTGGCGGCTTGATCGATGTGGAGCCCTAGCCCAACTGCTACCGATGAGTTGCTCTCTGGTATCACCACCACAAGACTTACAGTCAGATGTGTTGGAAAATAACGCCGGGGGTGGCAAGGACATACAGAGCGGCTTGAGGGATTGAGATCGATGACCTACAGATAGGGAAAACACAACTCCTTCACATAAACAAATTCAATTTAGGGCAACAAAATAGGGATCAGGATACAGATATTATCAGTTTTAACTGATATGGATAGATAATAATAATATATTATATATCTGATATATGGTTATGGGTGATTAAGAGAGAAACAACGTATGATCTGTTTCTACCCATATATTAACTCTCTCCCAAAAAAAAAAACAACAATCAAGTCCTTTGCACTGTGATTTGTGTGGGTGATATTCAATCTGTGATATCACTTCACTGCTGGGTTGGTTTATCAGTTTCTGGAAGCACGTGATTTATCCACGAGGTTCTATCATCAAGAAGGTATGATCTAAACATTTTATCCGCTGCATGTTTTGTGTTTTGATTTACACTTTATAAATTTAGGAGAAAACTATAAGCAAGTGAGAGAAGAGAAAAATAATTACCAACAAATGAGGAGGTACAACCACTTACACACCTTTTTGGGTGAATACCACAGACACACTTGCACTTCTCATATGTTGGTAATTTTTTTCTTTTTTTCACCTGCATATAGTTTTCCCTAAATTTAACATCCAAACATTTATTTCATTATATTCTATTCAGTTTTTTTTTTTCCTATCACAAATACGCACTTAAATTTTAGGATAAATTACAAACACACCCCTTGAAGTTTAATTAAAATATAAATCGCCTTCTGTGGTTCTGAAAATTACATTCCACCCCTAAAATTTTTAATTTCATAACAAATTGTCCACTTTATTAATAAATCATTAAGTCAATTAACAGTTTTTAATGATATTAGAAATATATTTCAATTAATAATTTAGGTAATTTTATTAGGAAAAAGCTTCGTAGCTCGAATCCCTTGTGGTTCGACTGGCCCGAAATCCAAATTTTTAGATTTTCTCTCTTCTCGTAGTGAGTCAAATATAATATAATATATCGATATTTTCTCTCTCCTCATACCCTGTTTTCTGTCTCTCTCTATTCGAAGCCAAAAACCATTGAAACAAAAGCTCTCAGCAGAACTCTCTCATTGAAGATCACTCTCAACCTTGCGTTGCAGATCTCTCATCCCAAATCTCATCCCAGATCAGTGTTATCCTGTTCTTCAACTTCCCCACTCCTATTAAATAAATTATTATTCGAATCAATATCCATTGTAGCTTCAAAGTGAAATAGAATAGACAATTTTAGAGTTAGTGGACAACAATCAACATTACAAGGAAGCAAACGAGAACCATGTATTCCTAAACTTCACCAAAATGTCATCTTCACCAAAAATTCATAGTCCTAATCTTAGGCAAAAATTCAACTTTATACCACCTGAAATTTATACCAACATTCTTGAATAGTTTTAGGTCTTTGTCTGGTTGTAATTAGGTGGTTCCTTGCACCTTCTAATACAGTTCCATCTTATTTATTTGTCCAAATATATATATATATATATATGTATGTATGTATGTATGTATGCACCATATAGAAAGCAAATTTGAAACCATGATACAGTTAACAATATTTAGGCAAACATTTTATGAAAAGGAGAAAAAATCATCAGTTTTTGAAAAATAAATTTTAATGCGAATTAAAAGTAGATATCAACCTTGGAAGATACTTAATTAGTATAGAAAGGTTTGGTGGACGACTCCTCTTCTTCCGCTTTGGACAGAGCACAATGTTGATGTCCACGCAGAGCAGCTGCGGCTACGGCACACACACGACAGTAGCACCCAGATCGGTGCTCAGCGGCGGCACTATTTCGCTCCTCTCATAGTTCTGATCGATGCTCAATTGTAGCACTTCGATCGGTGCTCAGCAGCGGCACTGTCGCTAGGTTACGAAGGAATCTTCACTCTATTCTTTTCTTTTCTTTTTTTTTGAATTGAAATGGGAGTTGAGTTGAACGTATGCACATGCGCACACTAGATAGAAACTCAAAACTGGGTTACTCGAGCCACAACGTATTCGAGCTACGTAGCGGAGCTAATTTTATTATTGTATAGGAGAGCAATTAATAATTTTATTTTTTTAGTTAATTCTGTTAAATAAAAATTTATAAGGAGGAGGTATCTATAATTTTTCAAATCACATGGGACAATTTATACTTTAAAAAAATCTTAAGAAGTGTATTTATAATTTACTCTAATATTATTGTATAGGAGAGCAATTAATAATTTTATTTTTTTAGTTAATTCTGTTAAATAAAAATTTATAAGGAGGAGGTATCTATAATTTTTCAAATCACATGGGACAATTTATACTTTAAAAAAATCTTAAGAAGTGTATTTATAATTTACCTTAAATTTTAAAATCAAACACAACCTAAAATAAATCAATAAGAGTAATTCATTTTACTAGAAGCCTTGCACATCACTAGTTAACATGTCAGTGATTTGAATATCTTATTTACATTATTATTATTATTATTATTATTATTATTATTGTATATTTATTGAGATTTTTTTCTACCACTTTGAGAATTTTTTTTTTGTAATTATTTTTGAATTTTTATAATATTATATATGAACAAAAAAGAGAAACAATATTATTTTAGTGGAAACTTCATAAAAAATCTCAATTTAATGGAAAAGTTTATAGATTTATTTTTTAACATTGCAAAATTTTCCACTTATTTCTCCCAATTCTTCTGAAATGATATTTTTCCTAAAAAATAAAAACTTAACCTAAAAAGCAACGATAAGATGGGAAATCTAAAGAACCATAACACTTTCTCCTCTCAGATAGAGTGATGAGAGATAAAAAGAGAAAAGATTCTAGTTAGAGCTCATGATGGCCATATTTTAGCGGACCAAAAGAAATTTAACTGTGAATAGTGGTGGAAGAAGCATTTTAGCGTTGGAAATTGAAGCCAAAGAGAAGTAGACCCTATGAAAAACATCTTGATTAATGTGTATTCGATCAAAAATTAAATGTATATGTGATCTTTTTTTTTTTTTTTTCTATACTAATGTAAATAAAAATTTAGGTTAAAAATTTTATCTAATATTAAACATTTTTGTTGGCTTTTCTGACTTTTGATGGTTAATAGTGTAAATTTAAGCGTGTCAACAAAGATCAATCAGTTCTTACAAAATTTTAATTGCCAACTAATTATCAGATAATTGTGTTGAAGTTCTTTCAGCCTCAGTGAAGAGGACTTTTATTAGTAGCTTATTTTAAGAGAAATTTATAAGAAATAACAAGTACAGAACAGTTCAGAAACTAAATTTCATTAAGTAAAAAGGAACTTACAATGCAATGACCCAACCTTGAGAAGGTTTACAGCAACGACTACTTG